AAAAATTTCGCACGTGGACAACGACGATGGAACGAATTCGATTTAATCGAGCGTCGTGATTTTTTCCTTCGTAGTTTTTCCTCGTTCGTTTCGAATTGAACGAGTGATTGATGACAACATATATCGAGTCTGGGAAACCGTATTATATTTCTCGATTTCTCTTTCGTTTGGAAATAATTTTAAAAAAGTGGCGCGGGACGTTATACACGCATAATACACGTACATAGAAATTTATGCACATACGTATATGCACACACACACACATACACACACAGAGAACCACAAAACTACTTTGGCCTGCAGGTGTCTCTATATTTAGCAAACTCTATCTTTAGACACAGTCACTGATTGATAGAATTGACTATATACGTTGGTAAAATAGGTACGTGTCCTAGAACAGTAACAGTATTCGAGAAAGCTCGTGTTTGCTAGAGAGTGGTACCTTTTAGACTCCCTCGAGAAACTTGAGTCATAGACCTAACTGAGACTTTTTTTTTAGAGACTTCGAGATATCCTGTCCTCGGATTCCTCTTTTATTCCGACGATTATATTTTGAAACATGCATTTAAAAGAAAAAAAATAGAGAAACGTTCGGGCTCCTCCTGTCAAAAATGAAAAGAAAAGAAAAGAAAAAGAAAATTGATACACAAGGATGCAAAATTCAAAAATGTTGGAAAATGAAATCAATTTTTCTTCCACGCTGACGAAGATTTTGCGACGGAGAGTTTGTAATGGTCTCCAATTTGGGAGACTTTTTATCTTATCTGGTTATTAATTTTAATAGATATACCCAATAGCGACGTAATTTAGGGCTTCGATAATCGTAGACATATCTAGGACGTTTATCGACGGATCCATCGTGGTCGTTCGTTTCGTTATTCTATTTTTATTCCGTTTCCTTTTCCCTTTACCCCTTTCGAGACGATCTTCCACGCAATAAACGAACGATGTTGTGATTGTGTGATAAATCAAAAGATAAGCTGAATTCAAAATTATTTCTCCAATAAATTTCATGTCGTTAATATTTGATACAATCCTTGTAATTTATTTCTCGTCTTGTTATTCTCGAAAGGGTTAAAAATATGCGAGTAGCTAGGTTTAAACGATGATCCCATTCACGTTTATCCAATTTTCATTCCTCGATTAGCACTATCACACAAACTGGTAAGTCGATTGGATAATAAAAGAGCAAAAATAACGATCGTTAATTGATACGACGATCCATTTTACGATCGAGGAAGAAAGGGGTAAGCTACACTACCGGTCAAAATTTGCAATTTTATATTCGAATCTGATCGATAAATTTTTGGAAATTTCTAATCCGATCGATTTTTTAATTATTTCGATTCGTTCAAATTTTCGACCGGGGAGGGTTGAACGACCTCGACGGATGCCACGTTTATTATCTCAGTGGAGCTAGAATTATAGTTAGATGGATTATATTAAACGGATATCTAGAATTAGAATCTCGCGTGAGTAAGTTAATAAGAATTTCCCAGTGAATCCAGTGTCGAGAAGATCCATTTGACAATAGAAATAGTTAAATATTTAATCTCTTACCGTAGTAGTTATCCCATCCCCCGTGCAGCCATCCGTTTCCATGGTTTCGATATTAAGCCGGATTTCCCTTTGGAAACCGATTTTCGCGATGACAGTTTTAAAGGGTAATCCATCGATGCGCTAATTCGATAACCTGATCCGACGACGCTGCGAGAAATCAAGAGGCAAAGCTTCCGGATCCTTTGTCCCCGATCGAGGGGGCAAGAAAAGTAACTTTGACCCTTCTCGATCGACTTCGAGCCGAAGGGAACTCGAGATGAGTTGGAGATTTTATTATTCGGCTGGTATACGTCTCCGTTTATCCGGATATAATTTGGACCAGTGTTTCTCAACCTATGTATTCGATTTCTTTCGTGACGGAAATATTTTATTATTCTTTTTACGATTTTTTTGATTTGATTTCGTTTTATTTTTGTCTCATATTTCTCTCATAACAATTTTGGATATATTATTTACGTAAAAATTCCTATTGATTTAAAATATTTGTCTTTTATTAATTAACATTTCTATATTTACGTTTTAAATTATTTCAATTAATAAATTCATTTACACTATATTTTACATAAATATCTTCTTTCCAAATATATTTTATTCCGATATAATTTTAAGTAAATTTTAATAAAACATCAAAAAATCAAGTTGAAGTTATGGATATATTAAAAAATATATTTTCTATCTATTAATATAATATAATTTGAATGATTAATACATAGAATAGAGTGCCAAATTTTTTTAAATTTCACTTGAATCGTGAAGAATTCACTGTCACGAACAAATATGGATGAAGGTTGAGAGACACTGATGTTAGAGCATAGTCACCGATGCTTAAAGTCACCTCTCATAGAACTTCATCCCCCGTCTCCGACCTAGTTTAGAAACTAGCTGAGTTTAAACGTTTGGTTATAGAATAGAAACGCGTCGTATGTTGAAATAAAATTGATTTCGTGTAACGTAAATCGCAAATATACAAGAAAAAAGAAGAAAGTCAAAAATAAAGCGAAATGAAGCACATATCGGTCCCCCTTCTCCCCGACGACGCTTCTTCACTTCCGATTAGACATTACTTACTCCCCATCTCCCATCAGGTTAGGTCATAGAACGCTAGTTAACCACATAGTTGTGTAGCTTAAGTACTTAAGTAGCGTGAGTATTAGTGTAATAGAGTAGTAAGTAGTAAAGTGTGGCGGGGTGTGTGTGTTTTGGGGCAGGTTCATCACGGCGTTCTCGCAAGGCATAGAACTGGATATGGATCTGCGCACGTTGCGTGCGATACGCGTGTTGCGACCGCTCAAACTTGTCTCCGGCATACCGAGTGAGTAGCGTTTCAATACAATCGGCCATGAAAAAATCAAAAGCCGAATCGAACGAAACGGCCTCGTGTTTTCTTTCTTCGCTTTTTTTTTTCTTCCTTGATCGATTTCTCGATAAGTCGATCGATCGAATATAAAGTCGCGTGATTATCATTGAGATCTAGTTGCGATTATTTATTTTATTGAGATT